AATATTTATAGCAGCAAAAGTCACAATATCCAAGTTATGGAACCTTCCCATATGACCACCAATAGGTGAGTAGATTAAGATAATGGGGTATATATACAAAATGAAGTTTTACTCAGCCACAAAGATGAATGAAATTATGGAATTTTCCAAATATTTGGATGAAACTGAAGAGTTTCATGCTAAGTGATAAGTAAAATGAGCCACTCGGAAAGTCAAGGATGAAATATTTTCTCTTATATGTGGAAGCTACAGAAAAATGATAAAAAGCAGAAGAGTGGGGGGCTGATATCATAAACATATAGAGAAGATCAGTAGAGTAGAAGAAAGAGATGAAAGGGAGAGAGGAGGAACAGGAAAGAGGAGGAAATCTGGAACAAATTTAACAAAATCACTGCTGTGTGCATGTGTAAATATACCCTGGTGAATTCTACCTTTATGTATATCTATAAAGCAATAATCATAAAGAAAGAAATAAGGAAGGAAGGAAGAGAATACTACTAAAGTAGAGGAAGGCGAATAGGGAGGCGGGGAAGGGAAAAGGTGGGGGGCTACTGGAGATTGAAATGAAATCAATCAAATTTCACATGTATATAATTTTGTCAAAATGAACCCAACTACTATGTATGCATAACTACAAATCACATAATTTTTTTAAATGGGGTTCTACTTGATATCTTTTCAGGTGCTTACTCTGATCACTAACTTCCATTGAAAGTGTCATATCTGAGGCAAAGGTGATGATGTCCCAGATACAGGGTTTTATTAAGTTTATAGTCAACTTACTGCCACAAAAATCCTCTTTCCAATGCTAAATAGTGGAAGACTTAAGGATCTCTCTTGGACAACATCTTTAAGTCTACAGAAACGAGTATCGTTCATCATGGAAATCTTCTCTGTGTAAGTTAGATTCTGAAAATGTATTATTTCAACAATAAAATTCCACAAATATTTAACAGCTAAAGACAATGTAGAACGCACATAAAGAATTAAGGGTGTCCTGTTTTCTTCCCTGGGATAACTAATTAAAAACTTAGTGAGCGTGGTAAATTAAAATGGAATGAGAGGAAGACAAAAGAGCAACGGCTAAGAAAAGGGACAGACAAGAGAACCCTATGGTGTAAATGAAAGTAAGACCCCATTCTAACATGGCCATGGACATTACACTCAGGGATATATGAAATGAAAGGATTGATTACACTCATAGATCCTAAGAAGGGAGACCCAGCATGCCAAGAGGGCCAAAGTCACTCAGAAGACTGATGTTTGATTATGACAGCCCAGTGAAAGCAGAACAAGGTCTTGTGGGCGGCTGTATTTCTTGGGAAGATTTCTCATTGAATAATTTACTCTCCCTTCTCCTTCTCCCCTCTTACCCTTTCTCTCCCTTTGCCTCTCCTTCTTCATTTTTAAAAATATTTTTTAGATATTGATGGGCTTTTGTTTTATTCATTTATTTATGTGTGGTGCTGAGAATCAAGCCCAGTGCCTCATACAAGCTAGGCAAATGCTCTACCACTGAGTCACAACTCCAGCCCCTCTCCTTCTTCATTTTGTTTCTGGATTGAACCCAAGGGCATCTGACCACTGAGGACATCCCAGTCCTTTTATTTTTATTTTGAGACAGGATCTTTCTAAGTTTCCAAGGCTGGCCTTGAACCTGTAATCCTCCTGCCTCATCCTCCTTAGTCCCTGGGATATAGACATGCACCACTGCACCTGGCTCATTGGATAATTTCAATGTAATAGAGTCAACAAGGAAGAAGTGTTATGTCACAGCATCAAAAAAGCTGACTAAAACAGAAATTGGTAACAAGAGTGGGGCCATTGCTGTGATTAACTTGACCACATGGATCAGAAGCTTTTGGAGCTTTTTGGAATTGGTGGGAGGAATTTTGAGATGTGTAGCAGTACAAGCTGGAAATGCTTTAGACAGTTGTAAGAGGAGCTTTATGGCCAATTCTGGTGGGAACTCAGGAGAGTAGAATGGCAACAGGACCATGGGCAGTGAAGACAGGACTCAAGTGAGTTTAGAGGAAAAGGAGGACACTATTTGTAATTGGAATAGAGGACATTAGTTTTGTCTGAGAAGCTGTCTGCATTTTGCCAGTGTCCTGAGACTTTCTGTGAGGCTGATTTTAAAAACAATGCACTTCATAATCTGGCAGAAAAATATCTAGGTAACATACATTTAGGCACAGCACAGACACTGCTGGCAGCTTTTAGACAAGTTTATTGTAATATTCAGTAGTCAAAAGCAGAGCAGAAATATTTGAAAAACCTTGGCCTTTAAGGACAGGAATAAAACTGGGGCTAAGGAAGTTGCAGTTGTTCAAGACATTAACACCACTAAAGAAATGCTAAAGGAATTTAGAGTCCAGAGACTCTAAGAAAGATGGCTTGAGACCATACCCATCTCAGGCTCAGGGGAGTAAAAGTAAAAGTTCTCTTGAGAAGAAACCAGTGGGGCACACAGAGAGCCTAGGAAGTTTTTCAACATGCTCAGTTACCCAGGCATCCAGAGACTGCTACAGCAATGGTCCCTGGAGGCATGGCTACTGCTCCAGAGGGTGGCAGATCTTTGTGTCAAACACATGGGGATGGTTGTGCAGGATTGCAAGATGCTGGAATTAGGGGGTCATGGAGGCTTCCACCAAGATTTCAAAGTAAGGCCTGGAGAGCCAGGAAAAGTGAAGCCGGGTGGGAGTCCCAGCAGGTTGCACCTGAGAGGGTAACGCATGGAGATGTAAGGAGGAAGCTAAAGCTACAGCTATCCCTTCATTCTATTCCTCTATTTTTGTGAATGGAAATATTCACTCTGTATCTTTTTATATTGGATACTTGAAAATCACTTTTGATTTTTACAGGAGCTCATGATGTGATTTTTACCCTGAGTATCAGAGAAGACTCTGGGCTTAAACTTTTGGGCAATCCTGGAACTGTTGAAGATTATAGGGACTCTTGCGCACGGACAAAATTGTTTTGCATTCTGAAATAAACATAAGGTTTTGGGGACTAGGAGTTGATTGTCATGATTTGGATGTAAGGTGTCCCTAAAAGCTCACATGTGAGACAGTGCAAGAAGGGTTAGAGGAGAAATGATTGGATTCTGAGAGTCTTACCCCAATCAGTGAATTAATCCTCTGATGGGATTAACTGAGTGGTAACTGAAGGTGAGTAGGGTGTGGCTGGAGGAGGTGGGTCATTGTGACTGTGGGGTATATGTTTTGAATCTGGAGAGTGGACTCTGCTTCCTGATCATCATGTGAGCTGCTTCCCTCTGCCACACTCTTCCACCATGATGTCCAGCCTCACATCAAGCCCTGAGGAATGGAGCCTGCTATCTATGGACTGAGACTCTGAAACCATAAGCCACCAAATAAATTTTCCTCCCTTAAAATTGTTCTTGTTTGGTTTTTTAGTCATAGGAGCCAAAAAGCTGTCTAAAACAGGAAGAAAAGGATACCGAGGACAAAGTTGTCATGAGGCTTTTCACTTGAACATGTTGGGAATGAACAAGCAGAATCTGTGCACTTATAAATAGAAATTGTCCCCCTTATACCATGACCTCACTCCCCAACTGGACCCTATCAATAACCCGAGAGCCTCCCACTAGGTCCCAAGTCTCAAAGTTCCACCCCTTCCCAATAGCACCATCCTGCGAACCTCGTTTCCAACATGTGGGCCTCTGGAGGACACTTAGGCAAACCACAGCTGTGCAACCAGAGGGGACTCTGCCATTCAGAGACTCATTAAATCAACAATAGCAGATCACAAATATGTGTATTTGAAAATTTAACTGACAAACAATTAGTTTAACTTCTGAGAAGTTGCCTTAGTGAAAGATGCTTGTCTTCAATGTCTTCTTTGAGAAAACATCTCTCTGTTACAAAAAAGGAGAAAACAAGGAGATTATAAATCACAGACAAGAAGATGAATAAAAAGATTTGAGCCAGATGTGGTGGTGCATGCCTGTAATCTTAGCAGCTTGAGAGGCTGAAGCATGAGGATTGCAAGTTCAAAGCCAGCCTCCACAACTTAGTGAGGCCCTCAGAACTTAATAAGACCCTGTCTCTAAATAAAATTAAAAAGTGGCTAGAGTGGTTGCAACAATTTGCAGTACTACCAGCAAAGTATTGATGTACACACTCTGGAAAGCAATACGGAGATTCCTCAGAAAAATTTGAATGGAACCACCACTTGACGCAGTGTATCCCACTCCTCTTTATATACCCAAAGGAATTTAAATCATCACATTATAGTGACAAGTCACATCAATGTTTATAGCAGTTCAAATGACAATAGCAAAGCTATGGAACCAACTTAGGTGGCCTTCAATTGATGAATGATTTTTTAAAATGTGGTATATATACACAATGGAATATTGCTGAGCCATAAAAAAGAATGAACTTAGGGTTTTTTGCCAGTAAATGGATGGAACTGGAGACTATCATGCTAAGTGAAATAAGCCAATCCTAATAAGCTGAAGGCTAAATGTTCTGATATGTGGATGCTAACACACAATAAGTATTTGTGAAAGGGGAGGAGGAAGAATAGAAGTTCATTGGATTAGACAAAGAGGAATGAAGGGAAGGGAGGTGGGATGGGACTAGGAAAGACAATAGAATGCATCAGACATAACATTCCCATATTCATATATGAATACACGACCAGTGAAACTCTGCATCTTGTTTAACTGCAAGAATGGGAAGTTATACTCCATATATGTACACTATGTCAAAATACACTCTACTGTCAGGTGTATTTATAAAGAACAAATAAAAAATAATAAAACACACAAAAAGTAAACTGGAAAAAAGGGGCTTAGGGAAATGGCTTGTTGTTAAACACCCATGAAACAAACAAACAAACAAACAAAAGATTTGAGTAAGCCATTAGACCACAGGGCAAAGGTTTTTCAAAATGTGAGGTGTAGACATCCAGACTGCCCTTCTCCTTCCATCTCCCCTGCCCCACCCCACAGCCAGGGGCAGGGTCCTTACCTGCCACAGTCCCTGGAGATGGGGGATGAGTGGCACTGGGACTTCACTCCCAGAACTTTCAACCTCACGACAAACTTCTTCTGCGGACTAAAAGACTCGGGGCAGCAGAGCTCAAAGCAAGGCCAGTAGATGCAGTTGGGACCACACAGGCGGGTCCGGTTCAGGGGCAGGATGGTGTCATCGTCACAACACTTCTGCAAGGGGTTGTAGATCTGGTCTCCACATCTGGGCGCTGGCTGGCACAGCCATGGAGCAGTATCTGGAAGAGACAGAGCTGGGTAGGCTTCAAGGACCAGCCTAGTACCTGCCCCCGTCCACAGAGCCATCTCCCCCCTCCTCACCCCACCTGTTCTCACCTGTGACTCCTGAGGATGTTGAGCCCAGGAATTCAGACATGAAGACAGCAGCTGAAAATAGAAGGGAAAATAAGGTGTCTCTGGGGGTGTAGCCAACTGGCTGTGATCAGGGGCCAAAAGACAATTCACTAAGCTTCTTGGGTGGGGGATGGCTGGTGATAGCTGAGTGGACTTTGAGACAGGCTGTGGGGGCATGTTCTGGGGTCAGGGCTGGCAGGTGAGGAAATGCAGGGGGGCTCTAGAAAGAGTGAGGCTTCTGAAATTTGCAGGTGGACAGAGAGGTTGCAGTGCAGTCAGAGATGATGGTGCAGGGCAGTAGATAGAGGAGAGAACTGAGTTCAGAGGAACAAAGGGGTGAGAGAACACTTAGGCTCAACTTGGGGTGAAGTCTCCTTACCATAGATTCCGAGCAGCATGGTTCTGCTTCTGCTGCAGAGCAGGAGAAGGCTGAGCAGCAGAAGAACTATGTGGGACCTTGGTCTGTGGCTTATAAAGGGGTAGTGAAATGCCTAGGCAGGAGTCCAGTGGGGGCCCTCCCATCTTGTGTTGCAACGGAGGCGATGCCAAGGAGCTGCATATTAATCCACATACCTGTTTTCAGATTGATTGCCACATGCTACCCTTTCAAAATTGTGACTCTGACAAGTGACTTTTCTTCAGTGCTGCCAGGGGAACTCATTTTGTGTGCAGACACCCACCAACCACTGGCTGTTTCTAGGATCCCATGCTCCTCACCTTGGAAGTTTCAAGGCTCTCTTCACCTGCAATTCAATCCACTTCTCCATTTAAACTGTATAGGATTTTTCAGGAATTTGGGGGGAATTATGAAGTTTCAGCCTAGAGTAGAGGAAGAGCAGAGGCCAGGGAGAACAAAAAAGGGACAGAGTCAGGATAGAGCTTTGGGATTCACAGAGCACAAGGAAGGACAGCACCTCTATTTGCCCAATTCCTTGTCCTAGAAATGCCCCATCCATGTTTCCTGCTGTTATTCTATTGTCACCATCACTCTTATGTGTGTGACCTGGAGTAGTATGACATTGCACCTCTCCCCAACCCTGTTTTCAGGGGCTTCCTCTGGGACACAGTGAAAGGGAGGGTGAAGGAGGGATCAGGCAGAAGCATCAGAGTCACAGAAGCACTTTGTAACATCAGGGAGGCTCCTGTTCCTCCTCTGTAAACTGGGTGTGTAGTACTTGATTGATCTGCCTACACATGAAGACCCACCCCCTCTCCTCCTTCTGCAGGTGTGTCTGTGAGGATGCCAGGTTCACCACGCCTTCTCCTGCCCCTGCTTGTAGAGAACACCTTAGGTGACTGCCACATATTCATTACACAAAACAGCTCTGGGAAAGCAGATCATTTCCATCTTAGATAATTAACTGATGCCGCATTCATGACTCTGAGCTGACAACCCAGAAGTTCATGACACATGAGAAAGAAATCCTGAGTGAACAAACTAACTGTAGAAGAAAATAATCAGGGCGATCAGCAGGAGAATTAACCTCTAACTGAAGTGTCTGTGTGGAAAGTCCCATGGAACCTTCAGCTCTGGAGATCTATTGGGGTCCCATGAATCTGGCATTACATCTGGGGGCTCATCCAGATCCCCCAGACCCCAGGACCCCTGAACCAGAGAGTCTAACACCGACAATTCTTGTTATTCATGTGTTTATTGTCTGCTTTGTTCTGACTACGGCTCATAGAATCTGTATTCTGGGCTGGTAACTGGCCTTGGTGGACCACTATAGGGTCTCCAGCCAGGACTCCTGGGAGATGTCCCAGACCCCAATCTGAGGGGAATACTCCCCAAATCTGGGGTCTTCAGACCGAATCTGAGGGGGATACTCCCTCAATCTGTTCATCTGAGGAGAAGGCAGGTTGCTCCTGCCTCAGTTGGCTTGGGGACAGCACCCTACTTCCATTTATTTCGACAATCTGAAAAGGGAATTTGTGCTTTGTGTGTCTTTTTGTCTGTCTGTGTCTCTGTTAAGTGTGACAGCTTTGTTTTACTTTGGACTGACACAGTGTCCCAAGTTCTGATCTGCCTTAGATGTGTGAAGGTAACTTTAGCCAAATTTTAGCCCACAAATGTCCCTAGTATGCTTTTCCTGCTTCCCTGTAAGGGACCAAAAGTCAATTTCTCCTTGAGAAATGGCAGCTTTTCTGTTCTCACCTCTTATACCCCTTTGAGCTGTGTTTTAAAAAACTTTGAAAAACTTTACCCTGTCCTCATTATTAAATTGGCATTAATTGGCTTTGAGGACAGGAACCGAACTTTCAGTTACAAATTTTGACACTCTGCTTTCTTGGGGAAGTCTAGCACTCCAAAACAACTGCATGTGGAGGATATAAGATTTTTTGAGAGCTGACTACTGAGAAGTTAGGAGATATGCGAGCATGCTTGGGATCAACCAAACCAGAGGAGCTAATCCTGTAAGTAAAATGAGGGACTGAGGGACTCCCAGCAGCTGCCGAAGCCCCTTTTGCTTCGGAGAACTCCTGCCTTCCTTCCTTGCATTGTAAGGATTATGCCACCTCTGTCTACTTAAAAAGGGGGGGCGGGTGGGACACTGAATGCAGTAAAGTTGCCACACCAAGACCCTTGATTTTACACTTCTGGTTGCCCTTATGTGAGAACATCTGGTCCACTTGTGGGGACATCTATGGTGCCACTGGTGTAGGAGTCATAATTAAATGGGAGTTGGAAACTTGGGGAGATTTTTCTCTTATCTGGTCTGTCTGATTTAAAGATTCCTGTCTGTCAGCCATAGTCTAGAACTCCTTTCTGTCTGTCTGTCATTGTGTCTTTGTTTGAATCTAGCCTTTAAGACATGGGCAATAATGTGTTGATATTATAAATTGGTTTTTGGGAATGATCTTGGCTGAATGGGCTATCTATAGATGTTTCTAAAAGATGATGTTTCACTGTAACAATCTGGTATCTGAATGAATTTTTTGAAGTATTGCACAATCTTGCAATTAAAAGTTGGGTTGTCAGAGTGCATGTTAGAAAATAAGGTATCATAATTTTCAACCTCCAAACCTGTCCAATTACAGACTAAAAACGGTTAAAATGCCTTAGGCATGAGGTTTCTGCTAGAACAGCAGTTTTCCCTCTCCTTCCAGACCTCAGCCAGGACTTGAAATGCAAATGGAAGAAGCCTGTGAGCTCAGTAGGAGACTGATCTGAGGCCCAAGGGGAAAAAAAAGTAAAAGTGTCTTTTATCTGAACTCAAACTAGACTAAACTAAAAAGTAAATTGTATGATACTTTCTAATTACTGGCTGGTCATTTTTTTTAGGACTCCTGTTTTCTCTTAGATTCTGTATTTTTTGAGCTCATGATTTTGATCCTACAGACCTAGGTTAATGTTCTTCTGATCAGTTCTAGTTTTATTCTACTGCGGAGTTTTTAAACATTGCAACGGAGATTTCACCTGCAAAAAGCTACAAGGCCTTTACTATTGTGTTGTGTGTTGTATGTCTGTATATGTGTATATCCATATATCGTGCACATGATATAAAAATTGGCAGATATATAAGGTGTGCTCATAAAATTTTAAAAATGGATCCAAATATCTTTAATTCACATGATTTAAATAGTTCAATTTAAATTAGGTAAACAGAAAAAAAATAAAGATGTCTTTAAAATTAAGCTTACAAGTTTTTCTAGGTATTAAAAAAACTAATAAAATGTTGATGTCTATGAAATGTCTGATGTGTTTTGTTTCTAGGATTTTCTTCAACAAGGAAGAAATGGCTAATACTGTTCAATATACTTGTCTGATATTTTGATAAAATAAGTAGATTTGATATGGGATTACTCATTTATGAGTACTTTTGTTAGCTATCTGATTGATCTGTAGATTTGACATGGGATTACTCATTTATGAGTACTTTTGTTAGATATCTGATTAATTTACAAGGTTAAAATGCTTAATGTTAAATATACCATTGAGTACTCTTAACTCCTTGAATTTAATTGGGTAACATTATTGATGTTTTCATAAGTTGGTAAATGAATTTAACAAAAGGTTTAAAGTTGCTTTGTCATCACTGATGCTTAGACATTGTGCTTTCATGAAATGGTAATCAGAAGTGATTCTATATACAAATATTTCTAATACAAAGGCCCAAAAGCTTCTACTGTTCCAATTAAGAGTTCTGTAAGTAAAATCAAGTATTTCCTTTTATTAAAATAAAATAATTTGCCTAAATTCAGAAGTTTACAAGGATTGTTTCAAAATGTGAACAGAAAAGCAGGTTAATAGAAGGGAAGAAGGAATTAGAAGATTCTAGGTATGGAAACCATATTTAATAGACAAGGAAAAAAGTGTTTCTGGACAAGAACTGTTATTTTAGAGCATTGTACTATGTTATTTATTTAAAAGCTAAACTTGATTAATATAAAAACATCAATGTAATTGTGGTGCTATTAATATGTTCATATCTTCCAGGTGTACAAGTCTGTTAGGTAGAATATTTAAAAAAGCATTATATCAAGCTGGTGTTCTAAAGTTGCATGATAATTTTAGGCTTAAAAGAAAAACATATTGAAGATTTATTTATATCATTTAATGTTCTATAACTGGACCTGTTATCAATAAGATATGTAAAGTTTTATGTTACATTTTACACCAGGGTACAATTTGAATATAGTTTTAAGTTAATGAGAGCCTAATAAATGTAGAGGTTAATATTGTAAAACACAAGCATTTTTCTACTTTTCCACAAAAGTTTAAAAGCTTTCAGCCTTTCTTTAATTCATGTTTTAGATGTGATATTACATTGTGTTAGCTAATATTCATGTGACCTCAAACAATTTATGTAAACTTTGTAAAATGATGTTTAAGAAGCAAAGATCAGCTTCAGAACTAAAATCCTTTATTTAAGGATTTAAATAAAGAGTAGAACAGGAAGGAAGAGCATGAGGAAAAGACTAACAGTAAACTAAGATGAATGGGGGGAGAGAAAGGAAGAGAGAAGGGAAAACATATGGAAATGGTAGGAGACCTTCAGTGATACACAAAATTATAAGAGGTTATGAGGGGC